TATATATAGACGGAAACACGCATCATATATATATATATATATATATATGATACGTAAAACTGAGCTCTGTTTCTAACATTAAGAAGTAGAAAAATTCACTTTAAGAATTGGAAGTGCGTCAGTTTTTGATTGCATCGTTAAATTTGGATTAGAATTCTGAATATGTTTTATTAAAATGTCTCAATAAAAAACACATATGTTGATCTTTAATATGATTTGTGTGACGTGGAGTCAAAAAATAGAAGACGTATTCAACTTTTTCAGTAAATAATGATTAAAGGGTTTTTAATGCAAATATAAAATGTTCAGAATAGACTGGAAAAAAGAATCGACAACACCAAAGCAATTTGTTAAAGTTGATGACGATTTATTAAGTAGTCAACCGTATATACACATATCTAGTGTAAATGGTGAAAAATATCTATGTACATTACCAACAATTTTTACAAAGGTTGTTGTTTTTTCTAGTCTGAAACGATTTGAAAGAACATATGTCTCAAGATCTATCGAAATTTGAGTCATAATAACTTTTGAAATATTCTGGGTTGAAAGTATTATTTTCCACTTCTCTGAAAGAGAAACGGTAAAGTATTCCGATTTGCTTCATGTTTATTATCAAAATTTCTGAATTTCAATATTTATCATATATTCCTAAAGTCCTTCCCTATCTCTGCTTTTGTATCTTTACATTTCAAAATAGGAGGAGATGAACCAGATTGAAATATTGTGTTTTCCAGACTAAGAAAGATGATAAAACTTATACGGGATTATCACCAGCTCAACTTATACAGTCGCTTTATGATAATCGAATATGCTCATATTGGTTAGATTTATATTGGACGTACGAATTGTGTCATGGCCGTTACATTATGCAGTTCCATGAAGATAGGGAAGCACGTAATGCAAGAACTGAATATTATTTAGGAAATTATGGCCGTGAGCAGTCCAAGTTGGTTAGTTCATTTTTGTTTTAAAATATAATAGAATCTAACTAGCCATCGTCATTTTAACTTTTTTACGCAGCACCGTATGCTATCATGTGAACAATCATTAGAATATATGTAGAAGTGCACTTAGCACTTCTTAGTGACAGTAAGTGAGAATGAATCAGTCCATCTCATATTTTGGAGCTTTATTCAATTCAAAGCAGTTTTGTAATTATTGTCAATAAGTAATATATTACTAAATAATTTATCACTGTAAGAAAAAATCATTTAAGCACGTCCATAATTAAAACTAGTCGATTACTCTTCTGCAGAAAGTTTCTGAAGTTTCAGATTTTGCAGATCATATTTTCACCAAGCGTTGTGACTGAAGAGAAAAATTTTCAGGATGAGAAAAGTTTTGACGAATTCAATCCGCCGAGACACAAAATTAACTACGAAGATCATTCATATTATCCTGTTACTTACAGGCAAGGAACTGTTTGTGATTTAACTGGCAAACCAAGAACAACGACTGTCATGTACATGTGCAAATTGGTGTGTGTATTTATATTTCGCATCTTTTATGCTATTGAAGTTAGATAACAACTTAAAATTATAATGCATTTATTTATGTCCTCAATTGGATTTTTCCTTTTTAAAGTTATGATTCATGCTTTCAAATTACGTTTACTGATCGTGTGATTTTTATTTTTTCAAGCAACTGGGTTATCTTTTGTATAATAAGTTCAAGTGAAGCAGAGTTACAGAGACCAACCTAAATAATAGCCCTGTATTTTCAGGATGCTAAGGATCAAATATATTCATTTTCTGAAACAGCATCTTGTACATATGAAATGGTTGTACACACCAAGCATCTATGTTCTCACCCTTCCTTTCAACCGTTGCCTACGGACGATCACGAGATAGTTTGCTATTCGAAAGATCCTTTTCAAGAAAATGCTAAACCGAAGCAGCTCCTTATATCTGAAAAAGAAGATCAGACTGCCCTAGAAAAGGTCAGTTTATTAATGTGTGTTAAACCTAATTTTGTAGTTAGAAGGTTAACAAAAAACTTTATGGGCAGTTTGTTACCTAATTCTATAAATTAAAAACTAAGCAATGATTATAGTGCTTGGTTTTTGTTTATATTCTCAATTATGATCAAGCCATTAATTTGAAATAATTTCACAATCAACAGGAATACAGATCATCTTTGCAATTAAAAGTTCCTGCATCGAATATCTATTTTAAAAAAAGTCGGCATATTGATGACATTGACGACGAAAACGATGAACGTGGTAGTAATTTGGATACTTCAGTCACAGCACACAAGCAGAAATTTTCAAGTTTGGAGGATGAACAAAATGGTGAGACATTACCTTACCAGTGTCGCAGCAAATTTGTTATTATTATTATCATTTGATTTGTTTTTCAGGCTATTCGATAGCTTCTTCAAGTAAAGTCGACCCAGACCAGTTATTGGAGGAAACTAGATATTTGTTAAGTGGGAAGCAGTGTTTGTATAGTAGAGGAACTGGATGGTGGAAATACGAATTTTGCTTTGGAAAAAGCGTAAGCTTTTTTAACGCATATTTAATCTTTCCTTGAGTCTACATTAAGATGGGCAAAATCTGGTAAAACAAAAAGTTTTATTCAGTAAGACTTGTTGACCAAAAGCTATTTGTGCTGGTAGAATAAATAGAATTTTAGTACGCTGCGAGTAAACTAAATATTGCAGATAATTCAATTCCATGATAATCCAGGAGGTAAACGATCTGAAATCCTATTGGGTCTTTTCAATTTGGATATACATAAACATTGGATTGATGACAATCCGCAGAAAAAACCATTGAGGGTCGTTTCTTTTCGCTTTTTAGCGTATTTTTTTTTTACTTTTTAAATAGGATTTTTCTAAAATTAGCAGTGAATCATCATATTAATCATATTAAAAAATATTCATTATAGATTGATGGTCGGGTAACTCAGGTTTCATATATGTATGCTGGTGGTGCAGCTTGTAAAGAAGCTAATATCCACAGGTTTATCTTTTGAAGGCACTTTATTTTCGTTTTAGGGTAAATTTATGTTAAAATCTAAATTTCTAAGTTAGGAAAGCATTTAATTGACAAAATTTAGGAGTGTTGAAGTACGTGTTCGATGTCGAACTTCAAGTGGTAGTCAAACAGCAGTAACGATTTATTTATTGGAGCCTTATAAGTGCCAGTACATTTTAGGGGTTGAATCAGCTCGTTTTTGTGATTTATTGCAAACTGTCGATCAGTATGGGTTGATCCAGTTACCAGAAACCTCCGATAATAATGCAGTGTAATTAACTCTAAGCTTATCTTAGAAAAAAGGAAGAAAAGAAGATAGATTAATATTATTGAACGGTCTCAGATAGAAATTTTTGTCTCAGGTTTTTTGGCTCAGTAGTCTTCTTTTAGTTGAATGAATGAAAAATTTACATTTATTTTTCTCAAGAAAAGTCTGTACCTGGAAATTATGATTTTATAGTCTTTCACTTATATTACTTATCAATAAAACTCAGTTACAATATGAATTGCAATTCTAATGCTTTTTTTAAAACTACATGCTACTAACTGCATTTTAAGTCTTTTTTTTAATCTTTTTTTGCTCAAGAATTCAGCTTGTAAAAACAGATGCATGAATTATTTCTAGTGTTAATCATATTTTTTCTATCCATTTTATATTCATTCCGTGTATCGTCATTCTCTCGATAAATACAAACTTTTTGAAAATTTCAATTGCTTCGATGTACGTTAGCCATTTTAAATTTTTATTTCTGTATAGTCAGGTACTGCTAATCTTCATTGATTGCTTGTTTTCGTATCATAGTTGGTGGCTACATAGATGGGTTGATCTGATGACTTTCAACTGTTTTGGTCAAATGTTTGGTTAGCAATAGAAGGAAGAAGTCTGACAGAGTGAAATTTCTCGTGCAACAATGTTGATTTATTTGAATTTTATGACTGATGAATGTGATTTAATTCGCTTCCTTTGTATAAAATTATTTCATTAGTTAAAATAAACTACTGGTGTTTTATTATTTATCTCGTATATGAAGCGTGAAACGAATTTACTGTTCTGTGTATTTCATTTTTTCTCAAAAAATTTGTGGTTGTGAATCTGTAATAATTTTATCTATTTGATCGCAAACTTTGATTGAATGTATTAGAATGTTGTCTCGTAACTAGGTATTTGGAAGTTTTAGTTATGAAATTGTGTTATTTCAAGACGTTTCATGATTTGTTTTTTTAACTTTCTTGCAAGTTTCTTAAATTTCTTGTGGGAAACCATTTCTCTCTTGCACCTGGCATGAGATATATTTCAGTGATATGACATTTCATTCATATTTGCAGAAATCTGATTACAACCATTAAGTTTAGTAATGATAATGTAGTCTGGAATATTGAAAGTTTTATTTCTTAATTGTCAGTGCCTGATTGTATTGAAATGAAGAAGAACCTTCGTTCCATGACATTGGGAATGGATTAATTTATAACATTTTTTATATGTGTGAAAGAACATGGAATATTCGTTTTGTGTGGCATGTGAGCACACTAAGATATATTTTTCGATTCATATTTAACTAGCATACTTGATAACGCCACAGTGGAAATACATCTCCTCTTTGAAAGTTGCGACATATTCTAACGATTACTTGTTTGGTAATTTTAAATTGTACTCCAGTTATGGAAATACGTCCATGTTGGTCCATTGTATCATTTTACAGTTTTGTCTCTATGCCACTCTCGATAACTCCAGCAATTAAAGAAAACAATGAGTCTCCTCTAAAATTTCTGAAGGAAAGACAAGAAGCAAAAGAAAGTGGTAGGAATGCAATAATTGCTGGCTTGCAAGAACTTCGAGAACAGCAGAAGAATGTCATCATGGAACTAACGAAACTCGAGGATGACAGGCGTGAGCACGCGTACGGTATTCTACTGTAAAACAATGGCCACGTCTCTAACTTCTGTTTCCAAGACAGCTTTGTCAGCTCGCAAAATGAAGGGCTTAAAATTCTGAAGAACCATAATTTTTGGTGACAGTAAATTAGTATTTATCGCATTTTTGGCGATGGTAAAGTAATGAGTATTGCCGTCTCTAATAATGTGATCTGGTTTGTTGACAAATGGTAAAAGTTTTATTGTGAGTTTTATGTTTTATGGGAATGAAAAATCAGTCGTTAGGAGTAGAATAAACAAAATTGCTGAATCTGTACAGTGCTGTTATACTTGTATTAAAATATGAAAACAATTTAGAAAAAATATCCTTTTTCAGACGTGTTATAGAAGTATTAAGAAAAATGGAAACTGATAGAAAATGTTATCGAATGGTAGGCACAACACTGGTGCAACATCAGATCGGTACTGTTATACCTATATTGGAAGCAACATTGAGTAATGTGAGTTCTTTGTAAATTCAGCAATTAATATTTTGAATTTGTTATTAGCAACAAAGTTGTAGTTAGCTCGTTGATTATGGTATGTTTCTGAATTTCATAATTGATTGTGTAGGAAATTCTCTCTTAATATGCAGTCACTTCCCTTGATTTGAACGGTGATAAACGACTTAGTTTTAAAAATAAAAAACAGGAAAAGCTTACCAAGCCCGGTAATTTTCAGTATGTCATGGAATCATTTTTCTTCTATATTTTTGTGAAATTCACTTTTCAACTTTAAAATCACTTTTCATATACTCTGTCTTTCTCATTACTGATTCAATGAACTTCTGCTTTTTATAAGTTGATGCCAAAAAATTTTGATTTTGACGTTTTTTTCCTCAATAGTCTTTTGGTTCGACATATTTCCGTAAATCGCTACCAAATACCTATTAAGTATAAGCGTATATTTTTGTTGTATATTTCAGTTAAACAACCTAACCAGATCGATGAAAGATAGTTTAATGGAAAAAGGAAAAGAACTGGAGCAGTATACCGAAAAACACAATATTCATTTTGTCAGCGAAAAAGAACTAAGCAAGCATTCTCAAATCAGTATTCCAAAGAAATGATGACTGATTATTTCCATCTATCGGCACCATTTTAATTAGATATAGCATTTGCAAACGTATTTTCATGACTGTCATTTTCTGATAAGTTCTGGTAAGTTTAGTCATGTCAAGAATATCATCGTTGTCTGTGGTTTTGGACAATTTTAACAGGAATTTTGTTTTTCAATGTTTTCCTAAGTAATTTATGGATATTCCTTTTTGCATATCGAAATTTAAAGACGATGGTTTCATAACATATTTATTTGCTGTATCATTTACTTGTCATTTACTTTACCGATTTACATCTTAGCAGGCTGATCAAATGCAAGTATTGTTGTGCCTAATGTCTAAGAATTATTATTGTGCCGACTTATCTGTCCGTATTCTTTGATGTGTTGAAACTGTCCTTGAATGAAGCAATAGCATTATGCATTGTGTTGCGTTCATAGAAGAACTGTGAGCTCAGTTTCACTATAAAGGAATAAGCTACATTCGATTATTGATGAAATGTATACATCACATGATAAGCTAGTTTTAAATGGCTGTAGCTTGTATGAAATACTGAGTTTGGGTCTTGATTTTACGAAATTAAGATTTCATCCAGTAAAGTTTTTTTGTTTACGAAATTATCACTGGGATTGGATATGTTTCGGTTTCATAAAGAGTAATTTGTCTTCGGTTCTCTCTTATTTATCACGGATTAAGCAGTTCGAAAGGAAATTATCTGATTATTCTACTCAGGAAGCAGAGACTCGTCGAATTGTTCGTCTTCGAAGGTGTCGGTAATTTCGTTTTCTGCTTGATGCATGCCCGTCCGAGGTCGAGATGTCGGCGGTCCAAGAGGATCGGTATAGGTTAGAACCACATCGCCTACAAATTTATATTATGCACCCGTCTGACCTTGAGATAAAACAAATTCATTTCAGAAAAAGTTGGAGGTTAGTATGTACTCATTTCTCGATGTGAAACGTGGAATTGTTCATTCTCATCAAATATTAATTGGGCGGATGAAGTAGTTCGGGAGGATGAAGATTGTCCGTCACCTAAAAGCACGTTGAGAATTATTCGCGTGTTGGCATAAAAGTGGATGAGATTACCAGGTATCAGTAACAGACTTATGCTCACATATTTAATCAGACTAGATAGAATAGAGCAAAAGTTACATCACTACCGCTCAGGACATTTAGTTTACACGTTCTCCTCATATTTGTTCGGTAGAACGAAAGCCTATAATGAAAGCATCATGGCTCGAAAATGGCAACCAAGTGGGATTGGTCCCGAGGTCACAGTTAAAATGCAACACCTATGACAACCCCACTGCACCACTGTTGCACTAACAATCTGCCGAGTATCTAATAACATTTATTTCTACAATCTTGCAAAATTTCAATGTTGGATCATACTTTTCAAACACCATTACTGAAGACAAGAAATTTACTAAGTTTTAAAATTACTTATTTGTAATGAGATCAATTAGTAAGGTCAGTAAGCATTCCTATCTGAAATGAGATCGAATTTGCAGGCATTAACAATGATAAATTGCCTTTTATTCCCATTATCTGTTAGCAAGATTCTCTGAACTATTTATATCACATAGTTCAGAGAATTTTGCTAACAGATAATGGGAATAATCTAATAATTTAAATTGGATACCGAACGTGAACTTTTTTGCAACATGAGACCTAGATTTTTTCTTCATGCTACAGACAAAAGAATCAAAGTGTTAAGTCTTATTGTATTTTGTTGGATTCGTCCATGCATGAGGGAATGTAATGTTCTATGTAATGTCTCATATTTCAAAGACATAAATGATTGAATGGGTAATTACAAGCTGTAACGCCCTCTCATACACACAGTAAATATATTCTTGGTTCATTACTGTAACTACGTACGTGAAGTGATTGATGGGAAATTATTTCCTGATTGGCTTGCTGTTGCAGACCGTTTACCCTGACTGGAATCTACTTCACGTTGTATTCTCAGTTGGCGTACTTTTTCTGCTTTCGATAACTGCAAAAGAATTAGCGGTGCGAAAAAACATCAAATGTGCATTGAGTAATGGTAGCTGGTTGTTTAAACATAAATAAAACAATAGTTCTTGTGAAATTATAAGTAATTTTTACAAAATGGGAATGTCATACAATTAAACTCTTGATTTTGGATATTGTGGGTCAAGAAGAACGACCTACCTCCTCCATGTACTCTTGAGCTTCAGACATGCCAAGATCCGTACAAAGTCTTACCAAAAACTTCAAGCCTGCAATATAAATGGTATCAAGGTTTTATTATATGTAACACAGAAAACTTATGATTAGCAGAAAATCGCAAAGAAATATTGCAGTGAACAAATTGAAACAAGCATTCTGTATTATCAGGAAATCGTTTGTGTATTTCTCGGTATGATTCGAATGCCTTTTGATACATTCCAGACCGTCGTAAGCATGAAGCCATCATTAAGCGCCATTTAATTTCATGCGGCCTGAGATTATCTTCTTTAAGAAAGAATGCATTAAAGGAACACACTTTAGATAGATGTGATGTGTGCGATTAAAAATAACTTGTTGCATTTTTGAAGTTACCTATAGATAGATAGATATAGATTTCTCGGCTTTTCTGAAATGCTCAGTGGCTGGCCCCGAGCTTGACTCTGGCGGCTGTGTTCATCGAACATGAAATGGAGGCAGAAGGAAAAAGTCCGCATCATAAATGAAAAAGATGGAAAAACACTTGCTGTTAGAAAAAGCTAAGTGAAGAGTGTGAAGGAAGGTGCTACCAGTGCACCGGAATTCGAGAAAATGACTTCATATTCTTCTAGAACACCCAAAAATACATA